GTTCGAAGCATATTGATAAAAACTAAAGTTCTTTGGTAAAAAAAATAACTTATAAAAAAAACCTGTTACAAACAAATTACTGCATACAACTAACACTATATTTCGTACAAGGAATTATGAAAAACCATACCAGTCTTTCATGAAGTTGACTATTATTAGTAAATTGATATTTAATATTTAAGACTGTATAAAAAAAACATCTCCAGTTTTAACAAAAGTTTCAGTTTTAATTAATTTTAAATTTTACAGGAAGGTATAAAAAATTAGAACTAAATGTTCTTATACTTTTAGTAACACGTATCAGTAAAAGCACAGGGTTACAATGCTGCAACCCATATTAATTAATTAATGTTTGGCTTTGATAATGATCATTGAGGATCGTTGGTTGCAGGGGATTATGAGCTGGCCCGATCCTCTTCAACTGGGTTCTGATTGGTGGTCTAATTGAATCTAAACTTTTCAGTAGAAATAGTAAATAAAAAAAAATAATTAAAAATAAAAACGAAATATCTTTAGTATTAAAAATAATTGGAATATTATTCATTAATACTTATTTTTATTAAAATAGGGTCAAAATATGAATCGATTGAAAATATACTTGGTTGGTTACTGTATGAAAAGCAAGGTGAATTTAATTCTCATATTTGGAGAAGTGTGATTTAAAACTGCAAACAGAAGTAAAAGAAAAATAAATCAGTTTATGAAAGCTTTTGGCAGATAAATATTTCTAAATATAAAAAAAAATTACAGTTCTATAGTAAATAAAATTTTCAGTCAAAAACTAAATGAAATCTATGCAATAATCAAAGATCAAATGAGTTTGTAATAAAAATAATTAATTCTGACAATTGGGGTACTACAAAATACAGTATCGGCCATAATGTGACGTCTAATATTAAAAAAAAAAGAAATCTAACGTCTAATATAAAATACTCTTTGACTTTATGGATTCACTTAAGGCGAACAATTATTAAGTAGATATAAAGTTTTGTATGTTTCAACATTCAATTTCTTAGAACCATAAAAAGGGACATCGATTTGCAGCGATGCGAGTAAGGTCAGGATGAACGAACGTTTACGTTACTTTACTTATTTTCATTCTTACTTACTATTAAAAATAAAACAAAAATCAAAATTTAAGTAGATCAGAATTAAATGTTTAGATGGTGTTAATATAAGCAAATACTTTAGCAGCCAGTATAAGGCGTGTATTGTCAGTTGCTATATTTTGAAATTTGATTATTAATTATTTTATTAAGGATTAGATTCTGGTCTTTGTTAAGATGAAATTATGAGATTTATTTTTGAATATAAAACACAACGAAGGCATTACTGATTTAAACCTAAAACAAAACAAAAATAAATTAAAATAAAACCTAAAAATAAGTAGAGCTCTAATGCGAGCATAAAACCTAAAAATAAGTAGAGCTCTAATGCGAGCATAAAACCTAAAAAATAAGTAGAGCTCTAATGCGAGCATAAAACCTAAAAATAAGTAGAGCTCTATGCGAGCATAAAACCTAAAAGTAAGTAGAGCTCTAATGCGAGCATAAAACCTAAAAATAAGTAGAGCTCTAATGCGAGCATAAAACCTAAAAATAAGTAGAGCTCTAATGCGAGCATAAAACCTAAAAAATAAGTAGAGCTCTAATGCGAGCATAAAACCTAAAAATAAGTAGAGCTCTAATGCGAGCATAAAACCTAAAAATAAGTAGAGCTCTAATGCGAGCATAAAACCTAAAAATAAGTAGAGCTCAAATGCGAGCATAAAACCTAAAAATAAGTAGAGCTCTAATGCGAGCATAAAAACCTTAAAATAAGTAGAGCTCTAATGCGAGCATAAAAATTTAAAAATAAGTAGAGCTCTGGTGCGAGCATAAAAACTTAAAAATAAATAAAGCTCTAAAGCGAGCATAAAAACTTAAAAATAAGTAAAGCTCTAATGCGAGCATGAAAACTTAAAGGTGAGTAAAGCTCTAATGTGAGCGTATAAACTTAAAAATAAATAAAGCTTTAATGCGAGCATAAAAACTTAAAAACAAATAAAGCTCTAGTGCGAGCATAAAAACTTAAAAATAAATAAAGCTCTAAAGCGAGCATAACAACTTAAAAATAAATAAAGCTCTAATGTTAGCATAAAAACTTAAAAGCAAATAAAGCTCTAATGCGAGCATAAAAACTTAAAAATAAGTAAATCTCTGGTGTGAGCATGGAAACTTAAAAATAAATAAAGCTCTAATGCGAGCATGGGAACTTGAAAACAAATAAAGCTCTAATGCGAGCATAAAAACTTGAAAATGAGTAAAGCTCTAATGCGAGCATAAAAACTTAAAAATAAGTAAAGCTCTGGTGCGAGCATAAAAACTTAAAAATAAGTAAAGCTCTGATGCGAGCATAAAAACTTAAAAACAAATAAAGCTCTAATGCCAGCATAAAAACTTAAAAATAAGTAAAGCTCTAATGCGAGCATAAAAACTTAAAAATGGGTAAAGCTCTAATGCGAGCATAAAAACTTAAAAATAAGTAAAGCTCTAATGCGAGCATAGAAACTTAAAAATAAATAATTTTTTTTCTTTTTTTTATTTTTTTTATTTATCTTTTCAGAAGCAATAAAGGAGGGAAGTCGAGGACGACCGGAAAGTAGGATGGCCGAGTGTTATGATTTTTATGAGTACCTTGTTTATATAGTGTATTGTTATGATTAACAAATTATGGTTTGTGTATTATGTCAGATTGTATTATTCATAATGCATGGTTTTTTATGACAGAGGCGATAGAATGTTACGGGAGATAAGATTGGGAGTGAGGCGTCCGCAGCAGTCAGTCGGTACCGTGCACTCGCACGAGACACATGTTTGTGTCGTAATCCTAAGTACTAAAATGTAATAAAGAAGTTATGAGGGAAATCCAGTGTTTTATTTGAAAATACAAGATCTATTGTTACACCTATTTAATGCCTGAATGATTTACCCTAATTACTTCAACTACTTGTTGAGTTCTTTCTCTTAAGTATGGCTCTACCCAACTTAGTGCTGGTCCGCGGACACCCACACTCGATAACTGTTGAAGCAGCAAGCTGTGATCGACCGAATAGAACGCTCGACCCATATCAAATCTCTCTCTCTCTCTCTCTCTCTCTCTCTCTCTCTCTCTCTCTAAGTCTCACAGCTATAAAATCGTCTCTCTCACAGCTATAAAATCGTCTCCCATCACGAAGGCGGCTCTAAGCAATGCTACATCAAGCTCAGAAACCGGCTCATCCCATCCTTCAGGAGGGTCTTTGTTAAAATGCTCGCAAACGTTACAAGCGCAAAGGGAGTCTCCTGCCTTCTCATGCCTCTCGAAGAAGTCAGCCACCCAATCAACCATCGACTTGTGCCTTTTAGTGTTTCCAAAGGCGGTAAAATAATCACCACTGGGCACTCGCCAAGGCGCCAAATAAGCCCGGTCTCTATCTATCTGAATGGCGGGATTGATATAATCGGCCAGGGCTCTGGCTAACAGCCTCTTGTCCCCCTCTCCCTTATCCTCCAGCTCAACGGCAGTGAGAATATCCATGATGAACAGCAATCCATCAGTTTCATTGGTGGAACTCTCCCATCTGGACTTGTCACTCTCATGGATCGGTTGAGTTGACAACCAAGCCAGAAAGTCATTCCAGTCTTCTGGTCCAACTATCTCTCGCCTCACTAACCACCACAACATGGGTATTTGTTTGAAATCCCCACTCTGCAGGGAGAGGCCTATTGCACAGCCGCTTGCTGGATCCTTCCACGTGAATACGAGGGGTTCAGAAAAATGTTTTTTGGCAATATAATTGGCTTGACTCTCCAGAAGAATGCCTCTGATCTTTTTCTTCTTTTTGATCACTTCTTCTTTCATTTGCGGCTTGTAGAGTAGTTGCACAGGAACGTGGTCGCCTTTTTAATCCTGCACGTTGACGGAAACAGCCCCCGCATGCATCTCTGTTTTTTTTTCGGTCACTGGGCCAAAAACATTATTTAACGGGAGCAGCCCGCTCGCGGATGTTGTCTGCTCTTGATCGCATATTGCTGAATATACGTCAGGCACTTTGTACTTCACTCTTTCCTCCTCCAGAGACGAATAAACTCCCCCGGCAAAAATCTCGAAAGCCACGTCAATGTCGAAATCCTTGGGGGGTCTTGAACCAGCACGGTGAAGGCTGGCACCAACAACTCTACATCAGTCACCTCACTAGAGTGGATGTAGGTGTCTATCTCTGCTACGGTGGATTCGGGCAAAAGGTCTCGTACATATTCTATGGATTGTTCTATATCCGGGAGGGCTGCAGGTAGACGAGGCAATGTGGATGGTCTAAATTGCCTAAAGCCAGCCAACCCCACTAGCGTTGCTCCGGCTTGCTCCACTCTATTCAGGCATATCTGTGATAGTGGTGTGCTCATGGCTAAAGTGAAGTGCACCGGGTCCTGCTGAAAGTAAGCTAAGGTGTAGGATCTCACCAGCAGGGCCACGATCTTGAATAGCTTGAAAGCGCAACTATGCCGTCTGACGAGAAACGCGCAACCCCTAGAAAGCGTAATCACATAAACTCCCTTACGATGATGTAGGTCGTAGCCGAGTCTCTCTCTCTCTCTCTCTCTCTCTCTCTAAGTTAAGAGTATTAGAACATATATAAGTTAAGAGTATTAGAATATATATATGAACATATGAAGTTTTTTCCTTAGAATAGGAAATATTAGCATGTTATTAAGCATGTTATTAAGGAACACCCTGTAGTGTAGACAAGAGTCATTGCCATAGTTCAAAAGAAGCTTAGATGTTTCATCACTATCTCTATGGAATTTCATTTTATACTTTTATATTGAAACGATTATAGAATTTTCCAGTGACTTGAAGTATTTTGAGGATGCCAACAAAATTTTTAGGATTTAATAAACAAATATTCTCAGTTATATTGCAACGAAATATTTTAACGATATCTCACTATCATTAATTTTGAAATTCATTCTCTGTTTCAGATACCTCGTTGGAAAATGCGAAGTATCTTATCAATACAACAAAATGTAGGATACCAGATATTGACCCGTTAAACGAAGACGTATTGCCTTTCTTTAAGGAGGAAAAATACGAGATGTGCTCAAATAGGCCTCTGCTAACTTACGTACAAAAATCTGGCCATGGAGTTAAATTAAAAGTTAATGAAACTGTGATTTATTTATATAGTAGTTGGAATATTTCTTGTTGCTATTCTAAAATTTTAAGAAGTAACAACGATGATAATGTTTTGTAAGTATACTAAATTTTTTTGAATATTTAATATACCTACGATTTTTTTAATCCGGCGAACGATCTTTCGGTATCAAAATATTTGCCGATTATATACCGGGTGAAACATTGTCGTTGGAAACGTAGGAAATCTCATGCAAATTTTGAACTGTCCAAATATTGGCTCCCCTTAATTTTACAGCAACGTCGCAAACAAGGTTTTTAAAGGTTTGCTTATGGCTGAAAACACATGCCAAATTTGAACAATTTTGGACAAGCCGATTTTAAGTAATTTAAATCAATAAATAAAAAAGGAAATACCTAACACACGTCCATCTGGTACGGTGTGACTCTCCTTTTTTAATGCAAAGAGTGCATCGCCTTGAGTTGACATGTGCTGGCATATGGCTGCAGGAGTCAAATCTGATTTCAAGGGGCACAGTGCTCTTCTAACATGGTAGAGATGGTCGTCCCTTTTTAGGGGTGTTTCCATTAGCACCTATAAGCCCAAGAGCTACATAGCTTCTAAAAAACTTAAGAGATAGCACCTTCGAATCTTGAGCTCTATTTTTGAAGATTAGGTAAGAATTTACTATTGCTACATCTAGCAAATACCAGAAGATTCTATGCCACCATTTTCTGGATTTTCTGTAAATTTCGTATATCGACTTCAACATATCGAGTTTATCAACAAAACCTATATTGCTTTTATAATTGACAACAATAAGTGAACAAGTAAATTCTTTCAAAGATCCATCTTTTTGTCTCCTATTTACGGTGGTACTCAGAGACGGATCTGAGTAGTTGGCGAGAAAATTAACTTCTTTCCGATCTTTTCATTTCAGATACACAAGTCCGTCCTTGCTCACGCGCCTTTCAGATTCACCTCTAACCATATCTTTTTCGAAATGTTATCACACTTACCACGCTTGTACCGACAATCGTGGACAACGTTTTACTACTTTACTAAACAGAAAAATGGTATAAGTGCACTTATACCGTTTTTTTCCAAACGAAAGGTCGTTATAACTGTTGTGCTTCGCCTACTAATTACAAGATGGCTCTCCGATGTTGAAATAAGACTTGTATGGTTTCTTTTCATTGTTTCAGTTTAACTGTAGTGGTGCAGTTATCTCTTATTCTGAGAAAATGTCACTTGTACAATTTTTTCACTAAGTGTTGTATTTTAAAACTGGTTGGAATGAGGCAAAAACGTTTAGAAAATATAATTTGACATTGACAAAATTATAAGATGACACTTAAGGTAGGTACGTTGGCATTTGCCTGGTTTTGCGTTGTCACCTGTTCAGTTTTAATTTAAAGATAAATGCAATTTTTCTTAAGTTACTTAAAATCAGCTTGTCCAAAATTGTTCAAATATGCATGCGCAGACCTTTGAAAACCCTATTTACGACTTTGCCGTAAAATTAATAGGGAAGCCAATATTTTGATAGTTCAAAATTTGAATGCGATTTCCTCTGTTTTCAACTTTTTAAAGAAATTGTTAAAATGAACCAATTGTTCATTTTCAATAGCTTCTACGATTTTTTTCAGAGTTATGAAAGATATAAAAGTACTAAATTAATTGAAAAAAAATCGGTTCTGATTGGCATACCAAATACTGAATTAATGTTTAGTAATTATTGTGAAATAATAGTAATCATATTATTTGACTCATTTTGTTTTATTTTTTAGTCATTCCAAATGCAAGACCTTCGTTAAAGAAACGGACATTACTTACCCATACATTAGAGTAATTTGCAAGAATATATTCCATATAGTTTACAAAAATGTTCATACAGTATTCTTTCCCGATAGGAACAAAACGAATCAATCTAGAAGCGATTCAGATGCATACAAGATATTTATGATCGGTATTGACAGTGTATCCAGACTGAATTTGGAGCGTACGATGCCGAAAACTTTTAATCATTTGGAGAAAAAGTTTATAAGTTTCCTGGGTTATAACAAAATAGGCGACAATACTTTTCCTAATCTAATGGCTATATTGAGTGGACGTAGTATGGACACGCTGGGCACTATATGTAACAAGAGTGAGAGTTTTGATAACTGTGATATTATTTGGAAAACGTACAAAGAAAATGGGTTTTTAACGGCCTACGGAGAAGACGAGCCTTTGGTTAGCACGTTCAATTATTATAAAAAAGGATTTATTAACGCACCTACCGACTTCTACTTAAGGCCTTATATGATATCCGCCTACAGGTTGCCTATAAAATTGAGATACTCCATGGCGACCTGTACCGGTTCGGAAAATACTGCAGAAAGGATCCTGGCCGCTGCAAAGGATTTTGCTACCTCGTCGAAAGATAGTCCTTCATTCTCGTTGTTCTGGCTAAATAGTTTCAGCCACGATAATGTCAACCTGCCCTTTTCCATGGATGCTAAAGTTTTGGAGTTTTTAACAGACACCGATATAATCGAGTCTTTAAACGATTCAATAATAATTATATTTAGCGACCATGGATTCAGATTCGGAGATATCAGATTGACTTATACCGGGTGGATGGAGGAACGCTTACCTTTCCTTTATTTTAAATTTCCTCATATGTTCAAGAAGACCTATTCGACGTTTTATAAAAATTTTCGTTTTAATGCCAAAAAGAGATTAGTTACTCCCTTCGACTTTCATATTACTCTCCAGAATATTTTACAAATATGTAATTCCAGTTTTAGTATAAAACCCGCTGTGGGTTGCCCTAGAGCGCAATCTTTATTTCAAAAGATTCCGGAAAATCGTTCTTGCCAAGATGCCTGCATTCCAAAGCACTATTGTACCTGTGACGGTTACTACTACATTAGCATAAAAGAACCAGTAGCTTATTTTATAGGTAGATTTGTTGTGAACCAAATTAACACAATAATTTTGAATTATCCCGATGAAGCAGACCTTTGTGCTAAATTTCGACTAAGGAAAATTATTTCCATAGGAAAGTCTAAGGGAACAGGTGACTTTGTCAACGAATATCTCATCATTGTAGAGACATACCCTTACGCCATGTTTGAAGCTACGGTACAAGGGAATAGTCAAAGAGGGAGTTTAGAATTACTAGGAGATATTAGCAGACTGAATATTTATAAAAGTTACACTTCGTGCATTATTAAAAATGGCAGTTTAAAAAAATACTGCTTTTGTGATGGATGGTTAACCAAAATAAAGAGTGGCCTTTGTTACTTATTTAATTGTTAAATATTGCTTGGTATATATATATATATATATATATTTATTTTTTTAATAAATGTTTTTTTGTTATTTAAATCTAGTTTTTCATTCAGTTTTAGGTACTTGTTCGAAATGAATATGCAACACTTAATCATCTAATATGTTTCAAAATGTATACGAATTTCAAATTAGTTTTTAGAAAATTTAATTTATAAGTCTCAAGACGGTGTTCATCATAAATACGACTCCTAAAATTAGATTCCATTATATTAATTCTATTCTTTATTGATATGTACACAAGAAAACAGCCTAAAGACTGCCTATAAAATCGAGATATTACATGGCGACCTGTACCGGTTCGGAAAATATTGCAGAAAGGATCCTGGCCGCTGCAAAGGATTTTGCTACCTCGTCGAAAGATAGTCCTTCATTCTCGTTGTTCTGGCTAAATAGTTTCAGCCACGATAATGTCAACCTGCCCTTTTCCATGGATGCTAAAGATTTGGAGTTTTTAACAGACACCGATATAATCCAGTCTTTAAACGATTCATAATAATTATATTTAGCGACCATGGATTCAGATTCGGAGATATCAGATTAACTTATACCGGGTGGATGGAGGAACGCTTACCTTTCCTTTATTTTAAATTTCCTCATATGTTCAAGAAGACCTATTCGACGTTTTATAAAAATTTTCGTTTTAATGCCAAAAAGAGATTAGTTACTCCCTTCGATTTTCATATTACTCTCCAGAATATTTTACAAATATGTAATTCTAGTTTTAGTATAAAACCCGCTGTGGGTTGCCCTAGAGCGCAATCTTTATTTCAAAAGATTCCGGAAAATCGTTCTTGCCAAGATGCCTGCATTCCAAAGCACTATTGTACCTGTGACGGTTACTACTACATTAGCATAAAAGAACCAGTAGCTTATTTTATAGGTAGATTTGTTGTGAACCAAATTAACGCAATAATTTTGAATTATCCCGATGAAGCAGACCTTTGTGCTAAATTTCGACTAAGGAAAATTATTTCCATAGGAAAGTCTAAGGGAACAGGTGACTTTGTCAACGAATATCTCATCATTGTAGAGACATACCCTTACGCCATGTTTGAAGCTACGGTACAAGGGAATAGTCAAAGAGGGAGTTTAGAATTACTAGGAGATATTAGCAGACTGAATATTTATAAAAGTTACACTTCGTGCATTATTAAAAATGGCAGTTTAAAAATACTGCTTTTGTGATGGATGGTTAACCAAAATAAAGAGTGGCCTTTGTTACTTATTTAATTGTTAAATATTGCTTGCTATATATATATATATATATATATATATATATATATATATATATATATATATATATATATATATATATATATATATATATATATATATATATATATATATATATATATATATATATATATATATATATATTATTTATTTTTTAATAAATGTTTTTGTTATTTAAATCTAGTTTTTCATTCAGTTTTAGGTACTTGTTCGAAATGAATATGCAACACTTAATCATCTAATATGTTTCAAAATGTATACGAATTTCAAATTAGTTTTTAGAAAATTTAATTTATAAGTCTCAAGACGGTGTTCATCATAAATACGACTCCTAAAATTAGATTCCATTATATTAATTCTATTCTTTATTGATATGTACACAAGAAAACAGCCTAAAGACTGCCTATAAAATCGAGATATTACATGGCGACCTGTACCGGTTCGGAAAATATTGCAGAAAGGATCCTGGCCGCTGCAAAGGATTTTGCTACCTCGTCGAAAGATAGTCCTTCATTCTCGTTGTTCTGGCTAAATAGTTTCAGCCACGATAATGTCAACCTGCCCTTTTCCATGGATGCTAAAGATTTGGAGTTTTTAACAGACACCGATATAATCCAGTCTTTAAACGATTCAATAATAATTATATTTAGCGACCATGGATTCAGATTCGGAGATATCAGATTAACTTATACCGGGTGGATGGAGGAACGCTTACCTTTCCTTTATTTTAAATTTCCTCATATGTTCAAGAAGACCTATTCGACGTTTTATAAAAATTTTCGTTTTAATGCCTAAAAGAGATTAGTTACTCCCTTCGATTTTCATATTACTCTCCAGAATATTTTACAAATATTTAATTCTAGTTTTAGTATAAAACCCGCTGTGGGTTGCCCTAGAGCGCAATCTTTATTTCAAAAGATTCCGGAAAATCGTTCTTGCCAGGATGCCTGCATTCCAAAGCACTATTGTACCTGTGACGGTTATTACATTAGCATAAAAGAACCAGTAGCTTATTTTATAGGTAGATTTGTTGTGAACCAAATTAACGCAATAATTTTGAATTATCCCGATGAAGCAGACCTTTGTGCTAAATTTCGACTAAGGAAAATTATTTCCATAGGAAAGTCTAAGGGAACAGGTGACTTTGTCAACGAATATCTCATCATTGTAGAGACATACCCTTACGCCATGTTTGAAGCTACGGTACAAGGGAATAGTCAAAGAGGGAGTTTAGAATTACTAGGAGATATTAGCAGACTGAATATTTATAAAAGTTACACTTCGTGCATTATTAAAAATGGCAGTTTAAAAAAATACTGCTTTTGTGATGGATGGTTAACCAAAATAAAGAGTGGCCTTTGTTACTTATTTAATTGTTAAATATTGCTTGGTATACATATATATTTATTTTTTTAAATGTTTTCTTTGTTATTTAAATTTAGTTTTTCATTTAGTTTTAGGTACTTGTTTGAAATGAATATGTAACATTTAGTCATCTAATAGGGTAATGGGTACAGTTGTTGGTCATTTAAACGAGCTGTGTATTAATTTTTTTCTGTGTCATATATGGAACAATATGCAATAAAACATTTTAAAATCAAAATTTATTTTGAACTGGTGGAAAAAAAAACACACACACATCCATAATTATTAATCCTTATATTTTTAACAAAATTTATTCAGTGTGAAATTTGTGCAAACAATTTCTATCCTTGTTGAAACAAAGAAAAGTATTACACATTTCACATTTTATAAAGTTTTTGGCCCCGCAACGATATTTGCACCTTTGCCTTTTGTGACACCATAATGGAAGATGGCCGTATCCATCTGTTCGAACCTCTTGGAAAAACACCTTTTTCTTTTATATTATACATTTGGCATAAGCGTGGACGACCTCTTTTTAGTTATATTGTCTTTAATCTGCCAGAGCTAAACTATTAAACTCATTGATATTTATTCTCCAAAGTATCCACGCATTAACGATCATTAAATCGATAATATGGAAAAATATACGCATATACTATTTTTTTTACCTGAGTTTGATTCTGTAGTATCCTATGCATGGAATCCAGGAGTTCTACACCTCCCATATACGTGTTATAGATCATTACAACTTTTCGACATTGAACCATTATATGTGTTTTATCCTTCTTGGAAAATCTTCGAACGTTGATTATTCTATTCTATATACTTCCAGCATATGTTGATAAAATGTTCACCAATTTGTTGTCATACCACGTGACCGTAGATTTATTTGTGCCATCAACTGTGGCGATTTTCTCCACCATAGTTCCACGGCCATTTTTCTTTAGTTCCGTGTCTTTTGGCATATTACTGTTTGGTACCCTATTCATTCTAACTGTGTGTTCCGAGTGGTAATGCCTTGTTTTGAAAGATACATTTGTAATGGGACGCTATTGAACCGGTTATCAAAGAATATTTTGGAATTTATATGTCTTGTAACAGATTGTGTTAGCCGAAGAACTACGTTTGAATTCACTCCAAGATCTGGAAAGCCATTGGGTACAATTATGTATCTCATATCTATTATCTTATTATTTTCATATTCCGAGTAACTGGCAGGAATATATCCAAATCAGATGTATTTGCTTCCAATTACTGATGCAGTTTTTCATTATCTTTGCCAGTTTTTAAATATATTTTACTTCCAAAAATACCCAAAGCAAAAAATCATATTGTTTTAAAATTAAGTAAATTATATTTGCAAAAAATCGTCAGTAAGCCCCAGCGTCCAGTGCAATGATTATTTACTGCATCATCCTCAAACAAATTATCCTTAAAATAATTTAAAATAGCTGGGGAAAGTGTTTTTAAGGTGTTAACTATTAAAATTGTAATGTAATTAAATTAAAATTGTAATGTATGTTTTTTAAGAGACCCACAGTTTTCATATAAAAACGAAAAAAAAATTCAGCGGCCTTACATGCATCTTGAATTAAAGGCGATTCTTTAATAAGTTTTCCGTAAGTTTTTCGTTTCTGCAGGGTACTTGAATCATCAGCTTCTAAGAGACTTAGGCAGCTTAAACAATTAACTGAAGTCTTATCCCCACTATATCTTTTGTCTAGATCGTTAGATCCCACACAGAAGAACTATAATATTGAAAATTTGAAATATATTTTTTTTATATCAATTTCAACATGTTTGAAATATTGTGTTTGCTCCAAATCATCCCCTTCGGCAGATTTGTAGCTGTACCTGCCCCTGTCGCTAGTATATTTATACCCCCGAATTCTATGACATTCCCTGTTTTTGGTCCACTTATACTGCTTTAAGGCTGCTTATTATAGCAGCCTCAAATTGTCTAGCGGTCGGGTTGTTACTAAAACCACCCTTGCTCCTTATAACTCCAAAAAACAATTCTATATGGTCCTGAGAGAACTTATTTGTTAATAGATAACCTAGTAATTTTTCATTCCTACAATAATGATTATATAAACCTTTTAAACTATTTATACATATCAGAAAACCTAAAAATCCTGTCTTTCGAGCTGATTTTATCACCAAGTTTTTATTTAATTTTAAATTTAAGATGTACTTTGAAATGAAATATAAATAGGCAAAAAATTGCGCCTGGGTATCATTTGATAATGGTTTTTTGAAACTATATTTAGCATATCTGTTTCTAGAATTAAAAATATCAAATGGGTTATTAAAGGCTAAGGCAAAATCTGCCGTAGCCTCAGAATTTATAAATTCCGAACAATTTAATTCTTGGCATAAAAACATTAAAGCATCTGAAACGCTCTTACTTAATGTTTGTGTCGCCAATTTAACACCCATTTTTTCGCGAGTCCATTGCAGATGACGCATACGTAATTTGTTCCCTGCATGAAGCCCTTCGAAGTTTTGTTTTTCAACTAATTTTATGATATAATTCCAATTTATATCATGACCTTCCCCATTTTGCAATCTTTTCATTGAAGCTAAACAATTTCTGACTAGTTTGATCATGTGACAAGGATCATAAAATATATATATTGGATCGTTACTTATTGGATTATTAAAATGTGATATTATGTTTTCAAAATTACTGACATCTAAACCTAATTTTTCAGCCATTCTTACATTTGATGCTGCACCATCAAAAGTAATAGAACAAATAACTATAACTGATGCATGGAGAAATTCTAAGCATCTTTTAAGAAGCTCAGCTTTTTCATTGGCTGTTATGCCATTTAGAAAATAGCCAAATGGAATTTTCCAACTCTGGTTTAGGCAAACTACCATAAAACTAAAGCCTCTCTTCCCTCAGGCAGTTCATCAGAATCAACATTACCACCTATATCAACATACCCTGTAAATTTTGTTCCATTCCATTCTATTCTTTTTCTTATCGACATCTCTTCGAACACTAAGTTACAGACCAGTTTGTTTTTGGATTCCTTAGCTCGTAATTTTAAAACAGTTATGGCTTCCATCAACTGCTGTGTACCACTTGGAGATAGTATTTAAATGCGGCAGAGAGTTATTAAAGGTCTTCCTCACAAAAGCATATGCCCTTGGCGAATGGAAAGCCGAAGTGAGAGCAAATGAGCGAAGACGTGGCTCATACTTTTGAGTTTTTGGACTCTTCAATATCCTGTCAAATATGTCCCTTTGCAGGACCATCAAGAGAAGCCTACAAAATTTACCTCAAATAAAAACATACACATACAGAGCTATTTACACAACCTATTCATTAAATATAAGTTAGTTGGCCAACCAAACCAAATCTACTTTAAGAGGACTTCAAAGACGACATTTTTTGGCTTTTAATTTGCTCATTTTAAATATACCTAAACACCTACTACATATCATCAACTACTACCAAATCATCCCCTTCAGCAGATCTTGTAGCTTTACCTGCCCCAGTCGCTAGTATATTTATGCCCCCGAATTCTATGACATTGCCAGTGTTTGGTTCACTTATACTGCTTTTAACTAATAGCCTTTCATAAGCAGCCTCAAATTGTCTAGCAGTCGGGTTGTTATTAAAACCACCCTTGCTCCTTGTAGCTCCAAAAAACAATTCTATATATGGCCCTGAGACAACTTATTTGTTAATATATAATCTAGTAATTTTTCATTACTACAATAATAGTGATTATAATAACCTTTTAAAATGTTGAAACTAACTGAAGCCTTCAGCTTCTTGACCACACACCCAGATATATAAGCTACTAGATCTTCTGTGTAGATCGTTAGATCTCACAGAGAAGAATTATAAAGTTGAACATTTGAAATATTTTTTTTATTTCAATTTCAACGTTTTTGAAATATTCTGTTTGCTCCAAATTGTCCTCTTCAGCAGATCTTGTAGGTGTACCTGCCCCTGTCGCTAGTATATTTATGCCCCCGAATTCAATGACATTATCAGTGTTTGCTCCCCTTATACTGCTTTTAACTAGTAGCCTTTTATATGCAGCCTCAAATTGTCTAGCAGTCGAGTTGTTATTAAAACCACCCTTGCTCCTTATAGCTCCAAAAAGCAATTCTATATGGTCCTGAGACAACTTATTTATTAATGGAAAATCTAGTAATTTTTCATTCCTACAATAGGGTATAAAAATAATGTATTAAACCTTTTAAAACGGTTTATACATATCACAAAACCTAAAAATCTAGTATTTCTAGGTAATTTTATCACTAAGTTGTTATTTAGTTTTAAATTTAATATATACGTTGTAATAAAATTTAAATAGTCAAAAATTGCGCCTGGGTATCAGTTGACAATGTTTTTTTGAAACTATATTTAGGATATTTGTTTCTTGAATTAAAAATATCAAATAGATTATATTAAAGGCTAATGCAGAATCTACCGTAGCCTCAGAATATGTAGATTCAGAAAATATACTTTTCTTTTTATGAAAGTTCCAATACTACTAAATTAACTTTAATGGTTTCGGGATATTAAATTGCATTAATATAATTAAAAAAAATGTTAGAACAGTTATAAGGGTATAATAATGGAAACAACACGAATATAACTTATTAAATCATTACAAGTTCATACAGAATCGTCGGAATTGAATAAACGGTTTATGTGAATAAAGAGTGTTAAATCCGGATATTCTACCGACTCAAATTACCACTTGACCTGGGACACACTGTACCTATACCGCGATTGTAACACGCGCAAGAAGGGGAACAATTTAAACTTTACTTGACTACAACGTTGCCAATTTTGCTCATTTATGATCAGATTTTAAGCGTCTATGTTTGAAATTTATATTAGATAGCACCAACGCAAAATACAATATTTTTAATGTTTGAAAATTATCAAAATGGGTCCATTGCCTAATTAAAAAACCTAAAGATCTTAACGCTTCAGCTCTCTTATTCTTAACATGAGATGAATAATTTAATTTATTATCATACTCCAGCCTTAAATCTCTTACCAAATTAACTTGCCTCAGTGGCTGGTTATCGATCAAGTAATTACAAATATTAGCTTTGTTCCAGCAGAGTAACAGAACTGTTAGCACGCGATGCTCGTGCGCAATATAGAAAATGTGTTCCAGCAACAAATTTTGCGAACTGGTAGTAACTTGGAACTTCAAACATTATGTTCCTGCAAGTGGAATTTTAAAATCGGAACGGTTTCAGAACAGTTATTACAATTCCATCAAAAAGGAAGAATTTAGCAAGTTCTGGGCATGCGCTTTTGTGTTATTTATAAAAGTGGGTTATGTTTATTCTTTATGTATATTCGATAAAACTTTCTGTGTTCTGTGTATAAAATGTTGGAAATTGTCTTGTTAATTCGTTTAGTGTTTCTGTGAAAAAGTTAAAATGATTTCTGATATATCTTCATCTAGTTCCAGTTTAACTAGTAGTTCTAGTTCTTCTGACGAAGAAAATCTACCACAACCTCGACCAAAGAATGAAAATTATGTTGAACAGACTGTGCCTCAGTACAATAATACAGTTTTTTTGGAACATTTTCGCGTCTCAAGAAATGTTTTTCAAGGTATTGTTGAACGATTTCGACAAAGTGACCAATTTAATATAGGGCATAGTGGTGGATTTGGCAAATTAGATGCCGAGTATCATATCTTAGTGTTTCTATGGTTTGCGGGTCATCAGACAGCAAGCTTTAGAGATGTGTCTGATAGATTCAATATAAGCATTAGTTCTCTTTTCAGAATTATAAAAAGAGTAACTGCTTTTTTGAGTAATCTAGGAAGAGACTTAATAACATGGCCATCTAATGAAGAAAAAAATATTATTGAAGGCCATTTTGAAGCAAGAGGCTTTCCTGGTGTTGTGGGCGTCATAGATGGGTCACACATAAAAATTGATAAACCTTCTGAAGATGCTGATTCGTACCTCAATCGGAAACATTTTTTTTCTATTCAGGTAAGTCTTTACAATATTTTGTACAGAATAATCATATATGGACAGGGTGTTCTAAAGAGTACCTAACAGGGGCTTATCTTTTACCCTCCTTGTATTTTTGAAAATATCCAAAAATAGCCAATTGATGTATTTTTCCCTAGAATTCAAAAACAAGGTTTAAAAAAACATTAAAACCAAAAACAAAAGGTGTACGCTATGCACAGAGTGCTTTTTAAATGGAACATGCTTTATATACAGGGCTATATATATTAATTCTACAACTTATTTTTACTAACAAAATCCATAGGACATTGCATGGCAAAATTGTATTAAGCATAGCTATAATGTAAAATATAGTGTACAAATATAGCCAAAACACGACATACATAAAATTTAAGAGTTGGAAAAGTTTTGTAGAATATATTTGTACATATTATTGAAAGTTTTTTCCGATTTTGTCTAATTTAAGTTTTGTTAGCATTACACATTTTCCTGAAATATGAAAACTTTTGCCTAGCTTGTTTTCAGAAATAATCTATAATGATCATTTATTTGTCTTAATATAATATTAATTATTTTCTTTAATAAACAAAGTAGACCTACATATTTATACCAGTATTGGATTTATTTTTAGATGCAAGTAGTGTGTGACCACCAAAGGAAAATTAGGGATATTTTCATTGGTTATCCTGGATCAGTTCATGATAGCCGTGTGTTTCGCACTTCCCCACTGTCAACTCAACTAGAAGAAAAATGTGGTAGAAATAGGTATATACTAGGAGATAGTGGTTACCCTTGCACTCGGTATTTACTGACTCCCTATAGAGATAGAGGTGAACTAACAGCTGTGCAGTCAAATTATAACAGAAAATTGGCCAGTTCACGGTACATAATAGAACATTGTTTTGGTATACTGAAGCAAAAGTTTCGTCAACTTTACCATGTTAAATTCAGAAGTATCGAGGATATCTGTCATTTTATTCGGGCATGTTGTGTTCTGCATAACTTAGCTCTGAATGACGAGTTTCCTGTAGAAGAGGGCCCTAATCTTAATGAAGGCGGTAATGAAGAAGTTCTGTTAGAAATCGAAGGAGATGGACATTATGATGACAGGAATGGTCTTGAAATGAGAAATTATGTATCCAGAATGTTAAATTTTTAAATATATAATTCAAAGATTTTAAATTTATGTTTTTCATTTGCTGTTAGTATAGTAAGTAGGTAACTAAATAAGTGAAAAATGTTTATAAGTACATAAAACATCATAATCAAAAATTATTGCAAATCTGACGGGAAAATGTTCATTCTTTTAATTCTCAAACTAACTCTTTATTCAATAAATACAAAACATAACACAAACAAATTTATAACACTGAATAACAAAAATTTAATCATATTATTTAGAGTAACACAACCTTTCACTTCGATGTTTTATGTATTAATCTAGTTAGTAAAATATTTTGCTTTTTTATAGCTGCTATTTTTTCTTTTTCTAAAAGTAGTTTTTCCTTATGATAGGCTTTCTTTTCCTCAAGCATATTTTGTAAATATAGTGTTTTTTGATGGTAATACTCCTTTTTCTGTTTATTTAATTCCATCAGAGTGTCATATTTTTTATTACTCTTCCTCCATTTTGTGTTCGGTGACAACTGTTTCAATGGGGTGACTTTTTTCTCTGCTTTTTTGAATGTTATCTCTGTAACTTCATCAGTTGTTTGTGCATTTTGTGAATCATTGTTATTTTCTATTCCAGTAATGTCTGTATTTTCTCTTTCTGCGCCTGCTGTAGAACTACTTCTACTTTGGGAATTAGCTGTTAATAATAGCTTAGGATAAATATTCTTTTTATTGCCAAATATATCAGTCATTTCGTCTAAGTACTCAAAATATTTTTTTCCTCTGCCTGTTTTTTTTTGATCGTCAATGAAATCTTTATATCTTCTCTCTAATACTTTCCATCTATTGGAGCAATTTGCTGACGAATATTCTAGATTATAATCGTCCCTCATGACATTGGAAATTTTGTCGAACATCATTTTTAGATTCCTCATTTCATACAAGCCCACTCGATTCCTATATTCTTTGTATAAATGAATTAATATTTTCGTAGCCTTTGGAGACCACTCTTTATAACTCTTTGTTTCATCAGAATGTTTCCTTTTCAATGGGGTACTCGCACTATCACTTATGCAGCTTTCTTCCACACTAACAGTTTCAGTTGCATTGTCATGATTGATAGTTTTGGCTTCACTGTCTTCTATTCTTATAAGCTGATTGTCGATAATAATAAACTTTGCTAAAAAACAGTATATTAAAATTTCAATGTGTTATAGCACATATTTTATTTATAGATAACATCTTCCATTAATAATTATTTACCAGTACATCTTTAATCCGTATAAAATAGATGTGACCTCATAGCTAATTAACTTACCCATATTTTATTAAAAATTTCAAGACTAATACGTCTCTTTTAATCAGTTTTTAAATAGAATATTTGATATTTTATAAGTATTGTAAAAGATGCTCGTACCGTACTTTACGCTATACATAACCTTGATACATAACACATAACCACTAACCACACAATTTTCAAATAAATACCAGTACTGTCATATTTAATTTTCATAAATACCAGTGTACTTGTTTTGTTCCAGCAGGTGCAAATTAGGGAACAGTTTTAGAACGAGATTTTGTGCGACTGAGCAGTAAAGCAGTTCATTTTCTGTCTGAGAACAGTTCTACTAGCTTTGCTGGAACAAAGCTATTATTTCTTGCCCAACTCATAGACATTACACAACATTTTGATAAGTTAAATTCAAATTTATTTATAATGCGCCAGTTGACTGCTCTTTTAATATTAGATTGAAGCCTAATGTAATCAGTAGTATTTCTGATGGGAAGGTAAAATTTCATGTCGTCAGCAAACAAAAGAGGTGTAGAATACTGAAACACCTCTGGCAAACCATAAAAATTAAAAAAAGCAAAGGTCTAAGATTGGACCCCTACGGTACTCCCGAATTTGCAGTATATTTATTGGAGAGGTATCTATCATAACGAACTATAAACTTTCTATCCTGTAGGTAAGATGTAAACAATTTAATCAGAGATGGTCCCATACCACATTCAACTAATCTCCCTAATAAAACAGCATGGTCAAACCTGTCAAATGCTTTTTTAAAATCTGTGTAAACCACACCTGTTTGAACTCCCTATAACATATTCTATGTCGCAAAATAACATATTTGCAGTGATTCAAAATATTAATTAAACTATCTCTAACACTGTTATTTATACCACCCAAGTCATTCGGAACATGTTCTCCTATATTATTTCCAATGTTTATTTCCGCTTCAATTTCATCAGTTACTAATGATGTTGGATCTGCAAACTGACATGCTGTGTTATGAAGAACAGCAGTGGAAACCACTATTGCTTCTACTTTCTCAACATTTAAACCTGTCGCTTATATAGGAAATTTTCTTTTCAGTACGCCAAAGCACCTTTCTATTGTGTTTCTTGTTCTTATCTGAGCTTCGTTAAATGTTCAGCCCTCGTTGTTGGATTCGCCAAAGGGGTTATTAGCTATGGTTTTACTCCATACCCAATGTTCCCTAGTAATAATTTCCATGTACTCCATTTTCAAATTCAGACTTTACTCTGGAATTTCTAAAAATCATTGAATCGTGTGTAGCATCAGGCCATCTACTCACAATTTTAAATATTTTCAAATCGCCGCGCACTGTCACAAATTGTGTATTAAATGAAAAAAATCCTTTCCTATTGTGGTAATTTTCTGCATTTGCCCCTCCAGCAGATTGTATCTTCATATGCGTACAATCAATAATTGCTATCCTATGCACCTTGGAAAGCGACAAATATTATAAAATTCTTGTGCTTTTGAATTTCTATCTTCCACTCCTACTGGTATTTTAATAAAATCCTTGCTTAAAGATGCAATAGCTCTAGATACTTTTGTAATCACGCGGCTTGTAGTAGACTTGTCTACACCATTGATATCACCAACACTTTGTAGAAAAGATCCTGTTGCTAAGAACCGTAATGGTGATAAATACCATGTCAGATGGTGTTAAAGCATGAATTCTAAAAATAAAAAATATACATAACTAAATTTGTTTGTTTTGGATGCAATTAAGGCGGAAATTTCCTCTATTAAATAATTCAGGATAGGTTGGGTTGGGTTGGCGTTATTCACATAATAAAGGATCCATTACGAAAAATCTTAAGAACAATAACAAAACGATAATCAAAACGTAAGGAAAGGCGGTCTACCCCTGAACGACGCTTGAACCACCAAATATCACCGTTTAGTTCACCGGATAATTTAAACGGCGCGGCGTTCAGGCTTGGTACAACGCATTTTTTGCTTTGGTCGACGTTCACTGTTGATCTGTCGATGATCGGTGAAGTTCGTTGGTAGGGGAGAGTTTCCTTGAAACGGACAATTTTCCTTTTTTTGCTCTAAAATATGCAATTGAATAAAAAAGATTAAAATTGCTCTGCTAGATTACAAGTTGAGGGTTTGTTGAATGATTTTCCAATAGAAAAGTTGAAAAAAAGCTAATCGTAACGAAAAAAAAATCTACTTTATTACATAAATTGTCCATTTCATGGAGCGTTGCCCTTGTTATGGACAACTATGACCATGAAATGGACAGTTGAAATTAACATTTCAAAAGCACGTTTTCCAAAAAAAATGTAAATTTCCAATAATTTCACATGATTTGTGGGCCCACTTATTACACAATCGACACTGGAAAAAATCTTCCTTACTTAAACGATATTCACCTCCACAAACTATGCAAGTAGAATCTTTTTCTTTATCACTTTGTTTGTCTTCTTCATTTGAAGAACCATATTTTTCTTGCTCTAGTTGTCTTATATATTCAAGATCTCGTTGAGGTGGAGATTCATTGTGAAGAGAGATTTGAGTGTCGTGTCTGAGTCACTAGTGCATTTTTTGTTTGCAACCTTCAAAACTTTTTTGTTCTTGGCTACCTTTCTTTTACCGCTTTCATCAGCTCATCCTTTTCAGGTGTGTCTGTTATAATCGACCATTTTCCTTTTTTTCGACCACCGCATTTACTTTTTGTTCGTAAGGGCGCAGTTGGATAGTCTTAGCATTTCTGGAGAAATTGTTCCTAACTCTTCTAGTCGTTCTTTCATGATATTGCTGTTTGAAATGCCGCTTGTAGAATCCTCTGATTCTATCGGAGAACTTGCTGGTATTGCCACACTCTCTACAGCATTACTGCAACTGCGAGTACTGTCACTACTCTTAAATTGAGGAAATGGGAGCTCTGATGATACTCTAGGACATGATGTATGTGAGGAGCCAGGTGGTACTGCAGAAGATGGCGTATATGACGGCCCAGGTGATACTGTAGAATATGATGTTTGTGCAGACATTGGCGTATTGAAGCTTGTATTTGGAAAATTGGCCATATATGGATATTGCTGTGGCTGTTGATAAACCGGGGTAAAATTTTGAAAGTTAGGTATGTCTTGGTTTGTTTTTTTGTCGTAGATGTACGTTTTTGCAGGTTTAGCTCCGTCTCCAGATTTATGTAACTTCTGACGTCTATGACGAACAAAAGCGTCCCTTAAATTTTTCCACTTAAGTTCAACTGCTTTACCTAAAAACAAAAAAAAAGAACTAATTAATTTTAAAATTAGCTTCAATAGTGAATCTAATTAAATGCTTTTATTTTATTGAACCTAATTTATTATTTTTTTACAGATATTTGGCTACAGGATGTACAGGGTGGACCATTTTGGTTGTTTCTATAGGGTATCTAGGAAACCGTGAGAAATATTCAAATTTTGATACTGCAGTCTCGGGTTATTTTTTTGAAAAAATCACAATGCCGCAAACGGATCGTGGCTATCTTGATCGGTTTCGAAGCTACAGCGGGATTCTCAAATTTTGTACTTTTTGAAGATGTTCGATAGTTTGTTTATTTCAACAACTATGCAAAAATGAATTAAACATTCTAAAGGCACTTTTCTGTGTAGAATGCAGTGGCGTAGTCAGACTTTTTTCGAAACAAATCTTTTTTTAGATATTAACTGTACTTATTTTTTTTTAAATACAACCCCCTGTATTTTTTTAAATTTCCTGCTTCAGTTTGGCACGGGCTTCATATATAACGCTAT